ATTCAAAAACTAAATTGCATAAGCTACCTTAGGGTCACCTACCTTAACGATATATATATACGGTTAAACTGTCAACCAATTTGAATTTGAATTTGAATTTCAACAATCAGAATACAAGCCATTTTGAAGTGCATTTATACGAGGTGACTGAAGCCTATTTAGTGAGTGTCGTATTTGCCTCTACAGCGCCTATCAGACTGCCTATTATATTGAAAATATTACGTATAATGCCAATTAAATATTTGAATTTGAAAAAGCTAAATAGGCCTGAAGTTTAGTGGGTATAATAGAGCAAATTTCAGAGATAAATAAGAAAGTGGCAAGAATTATTTCGGTAAATAATTGACTTTGTAAATAATTACGATAATAATAATAATACATTATTTATGAAACATATTACAATGTTTACATAGGTATTTATATATTTTTTGTCACTAACCGCACGTATAACGTTTAGATAAGATTTATTAGAGAATACGCACATGGATAAATATATATATATATACACTGAGGTATACACAATTTATACACCGAGAAGTATAATCAATACTCGGTGTATGAGTTTACTTTAGTCTTCGACTGTATTCAAGCCTTATAATATACTTTTTGCTGGTTGGTCACAGGCTACAGTTGTGGCCCTTAATAATCCTTCAGTTATTACTTCAACAAATGATTTTCCATCACTTATTAAAGTACATTTTAAATATCATATACTCTACAGCTTTTGGGAATAAGTAATAAAAACATCATATGCTAGTACATAACCTTACCTTCTTTATTTAAATAATAGCTTTAACAAGTAAAGATTTCATATTGACAAAATCCAAAATATCGATTCACTTAAAACTTTAAATATACAAAGTTTTATCGCTATGGATAAATGTGAGAAAGTTATATAATAATGATATGTCCATACTCAGAACCTTAGTTTTGACCAGAAAATACATTACAAAAATAAATAGACAATAACTATATATTTTATGGAATTACGAGAGATGGTTATTGAAATTTTAAGTCATATTAACACCACATAAAATATCTACTGGTCGCTACCTTACTGAAATGCAAACATTATTGGAATACACTTATTAAAAGACATATGGATTAAACATATGTGTACATTTGTACATATTGAAAAATATATATACTGTATATATATAAATATTAAAGTGTTCAGTGAGAATCCACGAGGTCTTCACTGAATACTCTTTATTTTCTTCTTCGAGGCTATGGGTCCCTACAATTGCACCAGAGGCTTTTGAGCTCTTCAACATAATTTAATATTACACTATATTCAACACCAAAATATTTAAGTTATAATGGCTCATTTAATGCCATGCCTATACTCACTGTGATAACTAATTCTTAAATATCACTTGGTTATTACGGAGTATACAGAGTTCATGATTCAGGTGTGATATATTCCATCACAGTTATCAAAATTGCGCCACTGGCTGCCATTAGCCTTAACACAGTCACGTGAGATGAATTAACAGTTATCAAAGCCCAACAAACAACATAACAGTGGTTTGCAGCAACCCGGATTCACGAAGCAGTTAAGTAAGCACTTACGAACGTGTACATCTTTCCTCAATCTTTGACGGCTTTGGTTACATATATTAAACAGTTTACAAGCATGAAAACTTGCCAATCAACTATTGTTATTGTTATAAACAGCCTCCTGGTGCTTCCAAGCTCATTAACTGTTTAATAATTGTAAACAAAGCCGCCAAAGATTGAGGAAAGATGGACAGGTTCGTAAGTGCTTGCGTAACTGCATTATGAATCCAGCGTAACTCCAAAGTCATTTCATCATGTTTACATTTTCATACACTGTATTTTGACTCAGTGTCAGCATGGATGTAATGACAGCCGCCCCAGCAGCTTGAGTACCAGGATATACAACTTCATTACAAATTGTGAAGTTAGCTACAAGTTTTTCGAAAAAAAGTGCTGATCTATGCATTGCATTTCTTAAGGGAGGTAGAAATAGCCTAAGCTACTCTATCCCTTTGAGATGTATTTCTTTCTTGTCTCAATAAACATACTTGAACTTGTATTTCTTATCGGAGACAGCATCAACCTCACAAATATTATCAGTCTCTTAAATTTCTTTTCTTTTTATCAAATAATATATAATATAAAGATCCTATTTACATCAATTTACAAGGGGAAAACATTACATTTATTTTTAGTTTATATAAGGTTACTCATTAGACAAAATATTATAGTTCTTGTGAGGCAGAAACAAGTATAACATTTGGGGTTTACGGCTCATGATTCTGCGGGCTCACCATAGCCCGTGCTACTTGGAACTTAATGTTCCAAGTAGCGAATCTTTAACAACAACAACAACTCATGCTCTGTGATATAAAAAATTGGTTTACAGTCTCTTAAATAGGTGGTGGGGCTTTATTATATATATCGGCAATGGTGGAATAGGCTAGTTTGAATAGATTGCTGGTGTTTAAAGTGAGTGGTTTACAAGAGTATACCTGGCCTTCCTGTCGAAGAGTCCGAGGATGCATGTAATCTGTGTAAACCAATGTACACAACTTCTCATTGTAATTCTCATTGTATTACAGTGGCAGTTTACTGTTGTCCTGGGCTGTGTTCAAGACGAGAGTATACTTGCTATCTGGCTAGTAAACTGTTGTGGTGGTCTTAATAACCCTCCACTGACTACAGAGACTGATAGGTCTTAATAACCCTCCACTGACTACAGAGACTGATAGGTCTTAATAACCCTCCACAGGCTACAGAGACTGATAGGTCTTAATAACCCTCCACTGACTACAGAGACTGATAGGTCTTAATAACCCTCCACAGACTACAGAGACTGATAGGTCTTAATAACCCTCCACTGACTACAGAGACTGATAGGTCTTAATAAACCCTCCACAGACTCCAGAGACTGATAGGTCTTAATAACCCTCCACAGGCTACAGAGACCGATAGGTCTTAATAACCATCCACAGACTCCAGAGACTGATAGGTCTTAATAACCCTCCACAGACTCCAGAGACTGATAGGTCTTAATAACCCTCCACAGACTCCAGAGACTGATAGGTCTTAATAACCCTCCACAGACTCCAGAGACTGATAGGTCTTAATAACCCTCCACAGACTCCAGAGACTGATAGGTCTTAATAACCTTCCACAGACTCCAGAGACTGATAGGTCTTAATAACCCTCCACAGACTGATAGGTCTTAATAACCCTCCACAGACTGATAGGTCTTAATAACCCTCCACAGACTACAGAGACTGATAGGTCTTAATAACCCTCCACAGGCTACAGAGACTGATAGGTCTTAATAATCCTTTACAGACTGATAGGTCTTAATAACCCTCTACAGACTGATAGGTCTTAATAACCCTCCACAGACTGATAGGTCTTAATAACCCTCCACAGACTACAGAGACTGATAGGTCTTAATAACCCTCCAGAGACTGATAGGTCTTAATAACCCTCCACAGACTAATAGGTCTTAATAACCCTGCAACGTCAGCCGTCAAGGCCGTCAGCCCAACACTAAATCAATTTGCAACTATAAGAACAACACTATAGCCTAGTCGACCCATTTCCAGTACCGTTAATGAAGTTCAAAACATAAAGAACTGATAGAACAAAACTTTAAAGTTCAAACCCTTACACACACATTCTGGTGAAATTCTACATGAAAACTGTCCTTAAATATCAAAGTCTTAATTCATCAAACCAGCTGGTTAGCATCAATTTCAGTCTTGTGCGCAGTAATTACTGATTATACAAACGTTCCAAATGTATATCTATGGTAATATTGCACATGAATTCTAATATGCTAAGCACGTAATACACTCTTGCAAAATATACAACATGCGGTTTATTTCTATATAAAAAAAGTGCAAAAAAATGTTTCTCAGTTATCTATATACAGTGAATACAAAATGCATTACACACAATATTATCATCATTTAGCCATGTAAAATACTGCTGTGATATAATGTCTACAGTTTATAGAAAATGGCATAAGACCCCCAGGCAGATGGCTTAATTATTGCTGTGGATAAAAAGCCTAATTCTCCTGAGTGGCTAATCATCTGAGTGGCTCATAAGCCAGGAATTCTGAGTAGCCATAAGTCTCATAAAGGCTTGACAACCAAGGAAGTCTCATTACCCAGAGAATTACCAAACTTAACAAAACTAAACAAAACAGTCCCCCCTCAAAAGGTACTTTACTTTAGCTCACTAATAACAAGAAACTACAACAACATTGTTTTATGATCTACGACCGACCTCACAGAGGCCAAAATCCACACCTAAAACCCACACACTCAAAGACTACCTGAAAGGAAGCAAATGGCGGACACCAGACATCTCAGATGATAACAGAAGCCAACGCCAAGGTAGATACATGAAGGGAAAGCTTCGTCTATGGTTGACAAGTTGAAGAAATACTGAGGCAGCGTCTGGCTGATATCGAAATATAGTTCAGTAACAAAAATATTAATTAACAATTAAAATATACTATCAAATAAACATGAGAGAGAGAGAGAGAGAGAGAGAGAGAGAGAGAGAGAGAGAGAGAGAGAGAGAGAGAGAGAGAGAGAGAGAGAGAGAGAGAGAGAGACAGAGAGAGACAGAGAGACAGAGAGACAGAGAGAGAGAGAGAGAGAGAGAGAGAGAGAGAGAGAGAGAGAGAGAGAGAGAGAGAGAGAGAGAGAGAGAGAGAGAGAGAGAGAGAGAGAGAGAGACAGAGACAGAGAGACAGACAGAGAGAGAGACAGAGAGAGAGACAGAGAGACAGAGAGAGAGAGAGAGAGAGAGAGAGAGAGAGAGAGAGAGAGAGAGAGAGAGAGAGAGAGAGAGAGAGAGAGAGAGAGAGAGAGAGAGAGAGAGAGAGAGAGAGAGAGAGAGAGAGAGAGAGAGAGAGAGAGAGAGAGAGAGAGAGAGAGAGAGAGAGAGAGAGAGAGAGAGAGAGAGAGAGAGAGAGAGAGAGAGAGAGAGAGAGAGAGAGAGAGAGAGACAGAGAGAGAGAGAGAGAGATCAACATAAATCAAATTGATATCAAGATCAGCAAAGTTATTACAGCCGCCTATCGCAAGCACAACAAAATAGTTCTTCACTTCCTGTTTATAACAACAGAAAGTATAGTTATAGTGCTATACACTTTTAGAGACACATCTATACTACCCGCGGGTACAGAGTGACATCTCTGGTGTAAATTACACTCATACATTTTGATTCGATACACTTTATAAACAAAAAAACAAAACAAAAATATGTAACAGTTCCCCATTACAAAAGAACCTGTGGGAGTAATACTATTGATATAATCTATAACATTTTACTAATGTATATTAAAAACTGTCAATGTGAAAAGTGCACCATGATATTTACAACATTATAATGAACATGAGTGTACAATATTTGTATTTGAAGTGTCTATTGATCTGTCTACACAATTCTATAATTCTATAATACTAGGATGAAATGGTGATTATAAACATATATATACAGTGACATATTGATTACTTACTCTAATACAAAAATCTGGTCATACAAAGTTTTAACTCTAATATCTTTAATGTATTGTATTATTTCGTTAATCTATTCTTTGTTACAAATCAAAATTGCTTTTGTTTCATTGTGTCTCATTTATCCTTTTATCTAGTCTTATTTATTTTTTAAATAACACCAATCTGTTATAGTTACTAAGTTGCAAAAGCAATACTCAACTATGGCTTTTATCTTTGTAAATACTGGAACTGATTTTTAGTCCTCCATACGAATATGAAACTGGAAAAGGTACACATATGGAGAACCGCTAGAATCCTTCATATGTATCTTTACCATTGTATCTGCTCTATATCCACATATCTTTGAAAAGATATAACATTTTCACACACACACACACACACACACATATATATATCTGAGCCAATATACATTAATATTCCTTTCAACTAAATTTTGTAATGTTTACGAACACGGCCGCAATATTTCTTTGAGAGGCTACCCTCTCTGTATCTTTTCTGACTATCTTTTCTCCAAATCGGGAGTAATATAATTTGATAATCTACCGTAACAATCTATAGCCCTATAGTTAAACCGAGATCAATTGATAATACTCTCAATCCAAGGCTTATAGTAGGTCATACGCATGTAGACTCCCGGCAAGTTAGGATAGGCGCATTTTATCCCATGAGATACTGTTCCTGCGAGTATCCATCGGCCATCGTCTCCTCGAATGGATAGGGGCCCTCCGCTGTCGCCCTGTAGGTAAACCAAAGGTCAGGCAGGTGAAAGAAAGTTCAAATAAGGTCGATAAATGTAAACTGAAACTTTACAGGTTTAAAGTACAGTCTAATATATATTTACATACGATAGGATTCAACTTAGAATAAGAAGCAAAAGTTGTCAATTCAACTGTCTTATTTGTTTAATGTGTCGAAGAAAATAAGTCTTGGATTGCGTGTGCTGTTACATTTTATTTGCATAGAGTACGTTAGTTTTATTAATAATTTTGAGTGCTAAAGAAAAGAGCCTGTCTTCAGGGAATAGTAATTATGATGAGACATCAAACCACATTATATTCTCACACCATCTGGATAGTTAGCTAGATATTTATGATGATCTGAAGCATATTACGGTTCAATAGTCTACTTGTAAACTAACAAGTGAATCTTTGTCCTTAACAGAGAATGTTCTTAAGTTATAGCTATATTGTATTATAAATCGTTGGATTAAAACATAAGTCGATGCTTAACTAGTTTTCTTTGAAAAAGTCTGAAGAATTTGGTTTTGTCAATGAAATTGTAGGGAATACTCAAATAGATTTTTTATTTAATATTTCATGTTTGTGAAAATACACCGTATTAACATAACCAAACATAATGAAACCTAACATAGCCTTAACCTAATCTATCCATGGACATGGAGTAGATAATAACAATAATTACATAGTGGTTTTGAAGTGATTACCTCCAGGGTACCACCTCCCTGAGGACAGGTTGAATTAAAAACAATTATATACTTCGGAGTATGAAGTAAATCTTGCAAAATATGTTATCTTGAGATCTTCTTCTTGAGATAATTTCGGGGCTTTGGTGTCCCCGCGGCCCGGTCCTCGACCAGGCCTCCACCCCCAGGAAGCAGCCCGTGACAGCTGACTAACATCCAGGTACCTATTTTACTGCTAGATAACAGGGGCATAGGATGAAAGAAACTCTGCCCATTGTTTCTCGCCGGCGCCTGGGATCGAACCCAGGACCACAAGATCACAAGTCCAGCGTGCTGTCCGCTCGGCCGACCGGCTCCCCCAAAGCAAAATATGTTGGCAAAATTATTAATATACTCTACGTCAATATGTAATTAAATGTGAAACGAAAAATTCATTTTAGAGACAACTCTATCGTTAATAAATGTCCATATACTTTATCCGCGATGACTTTTGATCCAAAATTCTGTTTCTTCGTCTTCAACAACTCCTCTTAACAAGCGGTTCTTCATCTATCAGCCCGTCCTAAGGTTCCCCAAAGTCCAGAAACCGTCGTATTAAAGTGCCCTAACTTATCCTAACCTACCAGAGGACCCAAAACAGAAAACGGGACAGTATGTCAATTCCGCGAGCCGCTACCATTTTCGAGTACGACAACGTTTGGATTTAAGTGGACTGTACGTCCAAAATGCGACGTTCTATTAGGAGGACGGGTTGCGTGTGAAGACCACTCCCTTCTCAACACCACCCCCCAAAGGTATCTTTATGTGAAGAACCTATCACATTAAGAACACTGCTTCTCGTCCTAACAGTGTAAGACAGACATAAGTCATTGTATTTATGTAAGGAGGATAGCTTAGCATTCTAAAAACACTACAATCACCTTCTGTTATTAATTGCTCAATAAATCACTGAACCATATGTGTAACAGATCTCTCACCCTGTCCATGGAGGCCGGAAGAAAATGTAAATATGCTAGTTAGCATTATAAATTATCTGGCCACGTCTGTGGTAGAAAGAAAAGAATCTTTGCTAACTTCCTCCCCCCCCCCACTTCCCACTCTCCACAAACATCCCCTCCTACTTCATTCTGATTGGGTGGTTATAGATAGGAGCTGCCTCGTATGGGCCAATAGGCCTTCTGCAGTTACCTTTGTTCTTATGTTCATTCTCCACCAACATCCCCCTCACACCCATACCTCACATGAGTCCTTCTTGCCCAACTTGTAGCCCGCACAGAAAAACTCAGGCTTGATGTTCTTAATGTGGCCCGCCTCGGTGAACCAGTGTTGGCACTCGCTGTTAGTGATGATTGGCAGTTCCACCTCGTTCAACTGCGTCGGCACCGGTCCTCCTGTAGAAGGTTAGGTTAGGGTTACCTCCTAATCTAACTATCAGATTTGAATACAGAATATATATATTGTACATCAAGCAGTCTATCTGTTCACAGTATATAGTATTTTGGCTTTGGTAATGAAATTGTAGGGGATACTCAAATAGATTTGAGTATCTATATTCAGTGGTTAAGGAATAAAGTAAGAGTCGATATACTATATAGTCTTTTCTCGATGTAAATACATTAAACGGTTAATTTAGACCTGCCTATCACCACAGCAGTGATGGAAATGGGTCTTATTAACCTATATACACTGGTCTTATTAACTAGATATACTCAAAGCTTGTATCGACAGTATATAATCAAGGGGTCCATCTATAATTATAACAAATTAACAACTAATTTGAATTGGTTGAAACTTGACAAACAACAGCTAATAAATGTCTTCATTTAGTACGGAAATTGAACGTAACAAAACTGGATATTAAGAAGTAAGTATATGCCGTAGGTCCTTGAAGGTCCTCTGTCTCCATCCTGCCTCTGAACGAATTACCGTAAGAGACCTGCCTCGTATGAACGACCTACCGTAGGAGACCTGCCTCGTACGAACGACCTACCGTAAGAGACCTGCCTCGTATGAACGACCTACCGTAGGAGACCTGCCTCGTATGAACGACCTACCGTAAGAGACCTGCCTCGTATGAACGACCTACCGTAAGAGACCTGCCTCGTATGAACGACCTACCGTAGGAGACCTGCCTCGTATGAACTACCTACCGTAGGAGACCTGCCTCGTATGAACGACCTACCGTAAGAGACCTGCCTCGTATGAACGACCTACCGTAAGAGACCTGCCTCGTATGAACGACCTACCGTAAGAGACCTGCCTCGTATGAACGACCTACCGTAAGAGACCTGCCTCGTATGAACGACCTACCGTAGGAGACCTGCCTCGCATCAACCACCTACCGTAGGAGAGGCGCCCCCATCCTGTGACGTAACCCATCTTCCCCACGAAGTCCTCGTTTCCTTGGGGCATGCAAATGGGCACGATGTGCTCCTCGAAGGTGACGGGTCGTTCCATCTCCAAGAGCGCCAGGTCGTTGTCGAAGGTCTTGGCCACGTAGCCTCTGTGGACGATGACTCGCTTGACGTTCCGCTGGACGACCTGCTTGGGCTCGTAGTCGTCCGAGAGGTCGTATTCCCCCAGCACCACGATCAACGACGCCAGGAACCTGTGGTTCATAGATACATAAATCATACATATATATACATATACGTGGTGGGATGGATACATCCCACCTATTCCCCCCAGCACGTATTCCCCCAGCACCACGATCAACGACGCCAGGAACCTGTGATTCATGGATAAATAAATCATACATATATATACATATATGTGGTGGGATGGACACAACAGCAACAAAATACAGGAGAAATGAAATACACCTTTTTAGCTTAGCATTTTAAAAGCACCGAATCACCTTCTGTGGTTGAGTGTTCAATAAACCCTTGAACTATATGTTTAACACATCTCTAACCCTGTCCATGGAGGACAGAAGAAAATGTATATATGCTGGTTAGCATTGTAAATGTGTGTATATATATATATATATATATATATATATATATATATATATATATATATATATATATATATATATATATATATATATATATATATATAAAGGGTCCCTGTAGTGCAGCCGGGTTCATTCTCGATGCCTAATCGAGACTTTTGGGTTCGAATCCCGGGCAGGACAGAAATGGTTGGGCTACATTTCCTTTCACTTAACGGTAAGTAGGTACTGAGGAGTTAGTCAGCTGCTTGTGGGGTTGCATCCTGGGCGGGGTCAGTAATTCCACCTTTTGGACTTCGATGAAACGGTAAACATGTATGAATACACACTGGCTTCCTGTCCCCCGACACAATGAGTTTATTAGTATCATAATAAACTTACCCAGCCCAGTGATTTCTGCCCAGTGCTCTGAATATCAATGTGAAGAATTTCAAAGATGCGCGGGTAAACGGCGGGAGTGCCTATGACTCTCCCTAAGAGTCATAGGCACTCTTTTGCTCCTCACGATACCCGCACAGTACGTGGTCTCGGAGAGGTCGTTTATTAGTATCATAATAAACTCACCCTGGCTGACAGTGGGCAGCTGTAAGCACGTATCTCTTGTTTAGCAGGACACCGCCACACTTGTTCTTGGTGAAGATGCCCAACCACGTCGACTCCTTCACCAGCGCCTGCCACGGCCACTCTGCGAAGTCTGACCGCTCACCGTTCACTATCCTGGCCTCCCGGGCCAAGGGTCTCACACCGCAACCTGACGGAGGAGGACATAAGTTCAAGTACGTTTATTGAGATCATAAAATACATGCAGGCGAGGAGTCACAATAACGTGGCTAAAGTATGTTGACCAGACCACACACTAGAAGGTGAAGGGACGACCACGTTTCGGTCCGTCCTGGACCATTCTCAAGTCGATTTGAGAATGGTCCAGGACGGACCGAAACGTCGTCGTCCCTTCACCTTCTAGTGTGTGGTCTGGTCTGCATAAAATACATCTGAAAGGATAGAGCAGCTTGGGCTATTCCTATCCTCCCGAAGGAGGGCTCTTTGACGGTGGGATAGTTTAGGGCAGTGTAAGGGAAGAGGGAGAGAGAAAGTAGGGGAAAGTGTGGCTATTGGTGGGTGCATAACATCTTATTAAAGGAAGCATCAAACACCAATCAACATTTAATTATTAATCAAAGAACTCCCGTTGGGACGTGAACATGGAGAGCAAAACTAGTAAATACAGTCGAAAGAAACTTCCAAATGCAACATATTAATGATAAAGGAAAGTGAATGAGATACATTTAATTGGCTCGTTTGGATCGTGATGTTGAACGTGGAGTTTCCCCAGAACATGAAATGTGAAATTAGCTAGAACTGCATTACTTGGCCTACTATGCAATGTCTGATTTGCCTAACAGGCCGAATGATTTTCGTTATTTGCAAGTATTTCTTTCCAGATTGGTTCTTTTCTAACAATACTAATCTATTATATTAGCAATATGAATTATAGGTTAAGTTAGGTTAAGATAGGTTATGTTAGGTTAGGTTAGGATAGGTTAGGTTAGGTCGGTTAGGAAAGGTTTAATAAAATTTCTATGTTAATTTTGACTCAAAATAACATAAAATTGCAACCATATATAATAGAATAAAACTATCATTTCATAAGAAATTTTGTTGGAAAAATTTCATATTTCCCGAAAATTATTTCAAACTCCGTTCATAATTTTAAAAGTAAATATGATAGGGAAATGAGCCAGGAGTCATTGCATTAGACAACCGTAGCGAATAGAAAGGCAGGGCCCAAGAACTTCAGCCTTGTGCTGCAGATACAAATAGTTAATTACACACACACACACACACACACACACACACACACACACACACACACACACACACACACACACACACACACACACACACACACACACACACACTCACACACAATAATACTCTACACACCATTAGAAATCCCATTCAACCCTCCATTCCCAACCCAGTACCCATACTCACTGGTCCTGTAATCCCAGGCCGGGGTAGTGGTGGTAGTGGTGGTAGTAGTAGTGGTAGTGGTAGTGGTGGTAGTGGTGGTAGTAGCTGGAACCCTGGTATTGAATGGTAGATTAAGTCTAGAGGTTGTTGGTCTTGGTCGAGGTCTGATAGTTGGCTTGGGACGTTGTGGTCGTGTGGTAGGCCTTCTGGTGGTAGTGGTGGTGGTAGTGGTGGTAGTAGTGGTGGATGGTGGTGCCAGTGGTGGTAGCGGGAACAGGACCTCCTCCCCCGGCACGAAATTGGTCAGGTTAAACAGCTGTTCAACAAACAAATCAATTCATGTAAACATTCAATAATTATTCCTACTAGTAGAATTGCCAATGCTGGTTAGCATTGTAAATGTGTGGCCACGTCTGTGGTAGAAAAATAATAATAATAAAAAAAAAATTCTACCACAATTCTTATCATTACTGCTTTAACAACTATTAACAACTATTTTCAAGCTTTAGGAGTAAATTGAAATCATGATGAATAAAGTATAATTTTTTTAATTTACTTTATTATTATTATGTAAATTAAGAGTTTACATAATAATAAATTCATAGTTTACTTCTTATTTTGAATTTGACACCCAACATCCACACACCTGTAAAATTTGACACCCTTCCCATACACACCTGTAAAATTAGACACCCAACACCCACACACCTGAAAATTTGACACCTAACACCCACACACCTGAAAATTTGACACCCAACACCCACACATCTGTAAAATTAGACACCCAACCAGGAATTAGAAAATGGTCACGTCTAATTAGAAAATTGGACATCACCATCTAGGATGTTTATATATATTTGAGTTTATATATATTTGAGTTTATACATCTAGAGCGAAAGAACTTTATAACACAACATCAGTATAAGTTTATGTATATTTATGTATATTTGAGTTTATGTATATTTAAGTTTAAAGAACATGTTCTGACGCGTTTATATATATCTCATCTGGGTTGTAATTGGACATATGGATTATATATGTGACAACATATATATGGATTATATATGTGACAACATATATATAGGCAAATATGTGTTTACAGTCGGGTTTGTTCTTAACTCACAATCTAAGGAATTCCGGGTTCGAATCCCAATGCCGGGGCGCATTTACTATTGGCTAATGCTCCTTGTTTACCTTAGCAGTAAGTAGGTTCTCAGGAGTAAATTGTGTGGTTGTATTCTGGTCGAAACGCGACGTTGTTGCAACGTGGCTTTTAGGTTGTGTTTGGTGGTACTCACCTGTGAGAGGAGGTCTAGGTCGATGGGTGGTGATGATTGGGTTGTGCTCGACGGCTCCTCTGATGGTGATGAGTTGATGAAGTCCGCGATGAATTGGTCAATTGGGGAGATGGGTTCTTCAGTTGTGGGCTTGGGGATGGGGCTTGTGGTGGGCTGGATTGTGGCTGTCGGTCGTTGTGTGGTAGTTTTGGTGGTAGTGGGTCGGGTGGTGGTGGTAGTGGGTCGGGTGGTAGTGGTAGTTGGTCGGGTGGTGGTGGTAGTGGGTCGGGTGGTAGTGGTAGTGGGTCGGGTGGTGGTGGTAGTGGGTCGGGTCGTAGTTGTGGTGCGTCGGGTCGTGGAGGGTGTGGTTCGCCGGGTCGTTGTGGTAGGTCGTGGTCGTTTGGTAGCTGTGGAAGCAGAGATGGTGTTGTCGTGCACGTCTTCGATAATGGAGGCCGGCCACGGTACCAGCGGCTTGCTTGTTGGGGAGGTCGTGGTGGTGGTGGTTCTCCGCTGGAGAAGGTCTCCAGTGATGTGTTGGAGAACGTCTCCAGGTATGATAGCGGGCTCCATGTACATGTCGTCGTCGTGGATAGTCGTGAACACCGTTGACTGCTCAGTAGACGACTCAACGACAGAAGCCTGCGGACGTTTGGTCGTAGTCCAGATTAACAGCGGCAGATCCACATCGGGTCTGGTCGTCGGTCGTGGCTTAAGAGGTCTAGTTGTCGTCCAGAAGGCTAATGGGTCTGCGAAATCGGGTTCAGATGTCGTAATAGTCGTGGAGGCCGTGGTGTGTGGTCGTATATTCATAATAGCGGGCTGCGGACTTACCGTCCAGAAGAGTAGTGGATCGTCAGTCTCCGCGCCACCTTCCCAAGGGGTAACTGTAGTATCCGGAGAATTTACCTTTGTGGACATCGAAGTCACCTGCGCCATTACCGACACCGGAGGCCTGGCGTCTAGTATCGACGGGTGTGGCGACAGTGTCCAGAACAACAACGACTCTGTCGTTATCTTGGACTGTGTCGCCATCGGCCGGGACGACACATGTGTCCTTTCTGTCATCTTTGTCGTTCCTTTCGATTCCCCGATGGTGTCTGTGCTCTCTATGGTCGTGGAGGCAGGTGTCTCCGGCGCAGTCTGCTGCTCATCTGGTTTTGGGCGCAACATGGCAGGTCTGGGAGCGAAGGTGGACCTCGGAGTGTCAGTGGTGAGGACTTCGTTCTCGACAGTAGTCATGACGGAAAAATTGAAGTTGGTTTCGGCAGCGATGTCGACGGGCGGAGGTGTGGGTTGAGGCTGGACGGAATTTGGTTGCCAGAGTTTGGTTGGCGGCGGCCTGGTGCTCCAGAAGAGGAGTATTTCATTCGTTGTTGATGTGTCGGTTGAGTCTGTCGTGGGTCGGGTCGTAGGTCGGGTCGTGGGTGTGAGATATGGTCGGAAAGACGTGGTGGGTTCGGCCTCAAAATGCGTCATGTCTAGAGTGGGAAGTTTGTCCGGTCGTTCACTGACAGTGTCGTCCTCCAGGCTCGGGTCCGTGACGTCTGAAATCGAAATCTGGTGAGTGACGAAGCCTTCCTGGCCCTCGGGCATGGTCATCACAGGAACATCCTCGGTGTTGGCACCAACAAAGTCGAAGTTCGGTCCCTCGAAGGAAGGACTCACATTTCGGACGATGGTGATGGTTTCGACCAGAGACTCGGATGTTTCGGTCTCCATTGACCCAAATGTTTCGGTCTCCGTTTCGGCCTGGTATGTGGAGCTCGACTCGGTAGAGGATACAGAAAAAGGGTGACTGGTGGAAGTAAACTCACCATCAAGCATTATTACAGACGACTCAAGCTGATCTTTCACCGCGGCGACGTTTGTCACTTCAGTTGACTGTGCTGTTGAGGCGTGAGCGCCAGACGTAGGAGCAGTGACACTGTCATGGCCTCCGTCAGTAGTGACCAACATCGTCGACGGCTCCGTTGACCCATCGCTTGTTCTCTCAACCGTCGAAGTATCAATGTCCCACGAGGCTTGAGTCTCTCCCGCCCCTCTAACAGGTATTCCGGTCTCCCTTTCGCCCACAGAAGAGTCCGTAGAACTGTCTACAGGAGTTATCGTAGCCCCAGAATTCATGTTATCATCCTCGCCTGTCGCAGGAGTGCTGGGGAGTGTTTCATCTTCAGTGTGTCCTCCAATTGCTTCCTGCTCTTCGGGGATCTGGCTAGTTTCCACTTCGGGGTCAACGCTAGGTATGGTAGGACCGGAACTTGGGGTTAAAGTTATCCTCTCAGATGTGACTTCGGCGGCGACTCCTGTTTCCAAAAGGTCATTACTAACCTCTTCCTGTACGTGGACGCTCCCTTCGTCCTCAGCCGCGTCGTGAGCGGTTTGTACTTCCAGTTGGCCATTTTGCATCGTCTGTTGCTCTTCAACTTTCTCCTCTTCTGTTTGAGCGTTATTCCCTGCTTCCTCATGCTGTGCCTCACCTTCCATGCCTCCTCCTCCAACTCCAGGAACTTTAACCTCTCCCCCAACTCCAGGAACTTTAACCTCTCCTCCAACTCCAGGAACTTTGACCTCTCCTCCTGCAGAAGGCTCGGTAGTAACGCCAATGACATCGTGGGGCGCTTGGCAGCAGGCGCCGAAGAGGAACCCGTCGATACACGTGCCGACGACCTTACCTTCGAGCTGGTAACACTCGAAGTTGAACATACAGCTCCCAGGTTGACCTTGAGGACCCACGCAGCTCCGGGGTTCGATCTTCAGCTGACGGTGACCCGGGTTGACGTCTGCAAGGGGGTAGAAATAAGGTCAATGGTCGTATGGAAATAAGATAAATGGTTGTATAGAAATGGGGCCAATGATCGTATTAAATAAAGTAAATGGATGTGTAGAAATGGGGTCAATGCTTGTATGGAAATAAGGTAAATGATTGTGCAGAAATAAGGTTAATGGTTGTATGGAAATAAGGTAAATGGTTGTACAGAAATAGGGTCAATGGTCGTTTTGGAACTAGTGTGTTCGAAGGACTTCGTCTGATATAGAGTTAATGGTTATGAGACGTTAATAGTTGCGATTAAGAGGTCTGTACATAAGTGTTTCCGAGTTTCTGCCTTTGTGGAGCCCAATAGGCTCCAGAATCTGTACACCAATTGATTGGCAGTCGAGAGGCGGGACTAAAGAGCCAGAGCTCAACCCCCGCAAGCACAACTAAGTGAGTACACACCCACACACAAACAAATAAACCTAGTGATGCGCAGTTACAAACTTGTTTACTAAATTACTACGGCACGAAAAACTGTATTTATAGAACAAAAATACAAAGCATGTAACACAATCCAGAACAACAAATGAAGATCACAAAACACCGATATAGAGTCACGTGGCGACCGGCATTTGTCTTCCCATGACGCAGTGAATCGCAACACACTAGAATACATTTCAAACGCCCCAAAATACTCAAATTCTAAATTAGGAATGATGATAAAGCGAAGCCACACTTGCCAACTCATGCGCATCGGCACGCTGATATCCTGCTGCCATTACGCGACGCAAGTGGCGTGGGGAGGTGGGTGGGATCCGGTTGGCAGCCTTGATTAGCAGTCACAAGGAAAGATTTACGAGATCAGATTATTATCGGAGGGTGAAATTTTTTTGCCAGGCACCAGTGATGATGTGGACTATCTCGGCCTGTGACACATTGACACACTGAGAGAGAGAGAGAGAGAGAGAGAGAGAGAGAGAGAGAGAGAGAGAGAGAGAGAGAGAGAGAGAGAGAGAGAGAGAGAGAGAGAGAGAGAGAGAAGAGAGAGAGAGAGAGAGAGATATTTGTTTGGTATTAGGCTTGAGACCTATCAACCTCTGGAGAGTTATTAAGGCCTATCAACCTCTGGAGAGTTATTAAGGCCTATCAACCTCTGGAGAGTTATTAAGGCCTATCAGCCTCTGGAGGGTTATTAAGGCCTATCAACCTCTGGAGGGTTATTAAGGCCTATCAACTTCTGGAGGGTTATTAAGGCCTATCAACCTCTGGAGGGTTATTAAGGCCTATCAACCTCTGGAGGGTTAATAGGGCCTATCAACCTCTGGAGGGTTAATAGGGCCTATCAACCTCTGGAGGGTTATTAAGGTCTATCAACCTCTGGAGGGTTATTAAGGTCTATCAACCTCTGGAGGGTTATTAAGGCCTATCAGCCTTTGGAGGGTTATTAAGGGCTATCAATCCTGGCCGGGTCAAAGAGTTCTTAGTGATATATATATATATATATATATATATATATATATATATATATATATATATATATATATATATATATATATGTATATATATATATATATATATATATATATATATATATATATATATATATATATATATATATATATATATATATATATATATATATATTGTTGATACTGAATCAACATCATTAGTTTAATGGGACTGTGGTTGCAACTTTAATATTGTATTAAACTTTACAAAAAGCTTTCGAGTGGCACTCATATAAAGAATGACTGCGGTGGCCGGGGAAAGTCAGCCGTGTGTAAGAACACGACACACACACACACACACACACACACACACACACACACACACACACACACACACACACCCACACACACACACACACCCACACACACACACATACACACACACACACACACACACACACACACACGCCAACAACCACTTTCCAGAGTCCAGATTTATATCATAAATGGAGACAATAATAAAAATAATAATAATCTTAAAATGTACAGCAAGCCAAAATATCTTATTCTAATAATACACTTACAAAGTAGATCAAGTGGAATAAATCAATAACAATAAAATAAAACTCAAGTGGAATAAAACTCTCTCAGCGTAACTGTATACAGACCATTAAATGTACGTAAACACATTAAAGTGTAAGAAATCTTGTGATAATCCCGCGTGTGACCTACATCAGGGCGTGAAGACAACGCCCTGATGATAGCATTCTAGCGTATTAATCTATTAATCGTATTAATAGATTAATAGTATTTATCGTATTAATACGCACATACTAGCGTATTAATGGTAGCCAGCGAGGCACACTTGAGCCTTAGAGACGGGCTCCGATAGTGTCAACAAATCCACAAGGGCCATTATCTTGAGATGATTTCGGGGCTTTATTGTCCCCGCGGCCCGGTCCTCGACCATGCCTCCACCCCCAGGAAGCAGCCCGTGACAGCTGACTAACACCCAGGTACCTATTTTACTGCTCTATTTACGTGGCCAGGATTCGAACCTGCGCCCGAGAGCATCCCAGACGCTGCCTTAATCGACTGAGCTACGACACGGTCATACCCTGTGGTCCGATAGGGTATTGTTGACAGTTTCCGCATCGATACCCATAAGCCCGTTCTCCTAAGCGTTCCCAACGTCGGAAAACTGACGTACTAACCTGCCAGAGAACCCAAAACAGAAAACGGGACACCTGACAATCCTGGAGGTCAGATTAAACAGCGGAAATATGATCACAACCTCCAAGATACTGAGGGATATAGGCCAGCCTCTTTCAGTTGAGAGAAAGGAGAACACAGGTGGAAGCTAGGCATGCAAATGAGTCCAAGGAATGTATGGAAATACTCATACAATGTACAGGTGGTCCACGCGTGGAATGTACTGAAAGAATAAGTTGTGGAAGCCACCTCTACCCACAACTTTAAGGCTTGATTTGACAACGGATTTGAACGTCAGAACAGTTAAGCTATAACGCAACGGGAATCACAGAGAGGTAAGCCTCATAACTATCACTGTACAATCACCAAGATAACACCATCAATTCCACTACAATCATTGCACAATCACCAAGAAAACACCATCAATTCCACTACAATCATTGCACAATCACCAAGATAACACCATCGATTCCGTTGCAACCATCACACAATCACCAAGATAACACCATCAATTCCACTGCACAATCACCAAGATGACACCATCAATTTCATTGCACAATCACCAAGATAACCCCATCAATATTCCGTTGCAACCATCGCACAATCACCAAGATAACACCATCAATTCCACTGCAATCATCGCACAATCACCAAGATAACACCATCAATTCCGTTGCAACCATCACACAATCACCAAGATAACACCATCAATTCCACTGCACAATCACCAAGATAACACCATCAATTCCTCTACAATCATCGCACAATCACCAAGATAACACCATCAATTCCATTACAACTACAACATATCACTACCATCAAACTACCCCAAACACACGAATACCGTAGTTACTGCCCCCAACAGATCGCTATTAACGTATCATAATTACCATCAACAAATCATAAAAAAATGCTATAATTAACAGTGTCTAATTAAAAAAAAATTGTCCAGGAATACAAAGTTAAGCTCGAGTAGCAAACTATCAGCCAAGATAACCATAACTACCGCTAGGGACAAAGAACTATCTCAGTCAAACTATCTTGCCACTAGTATCGTGAACTACTATCACACCTCTATCCCACCAATATTACTATTAACTCTCATAATTATCAAACCATTATCACTAATTCCATAGCTACCATCACCTTGGCAACCACAACCACCATAACCAACCAACAATACTATGGTTATCTTGAGATGATTTCGGGGCTTTTTTTAGTGTCCCCGCGGCCCGGTCCTCGACCAGGCCTCCACCCCCAGGAAGCAGCCAGTGACAGCTGACTAACACCCAGGTACCTATTTTACTGCTAGGTAACAGGGGCATTCAGGGTGAAAGAAACTTTGCCCATTTGTTTCTGCCTCGTGCGGGAATCGAACCCGCGCCACAGAATTATGAGTCCTGCGCGCTATCCACCAGGCTACGAGGCCACCTAAGGCTACCCCCCTGGTGGTATCCACCTATCTACCACCAACAATACTCCAGTACTACCACGTCTTTACCATAGCCATGGTAAAATCCTTCTTAATAACCATTTCTTTATTCGTCAACCAATCAACCATAACCATTCTTCTACCATCTTGAGATGATTTCGAGGCTTAGTGTCCCCGCGGCCCGGTCCTCGACAAGGCCTCCATTCCCAGGAAGCAGCCCGTGACAGCTGACCAACACCCAGGTACCTATTTTATTGCTAGGTAACAGGGGCATAGGATGAAAGAAACTCTGCCCATTGTTTCTCGCCGGCGCCTGGGATCGAACCCGGGACCACAGGATCACAAGTCCAGCGTGTTGTCCGCTCGGCCGAACGGCTCCCTCCTTGGTGTAAATTCCTTACATAAATTTCACATATAAACAGGAGTAGGTTTTTATCCCATGTTATTTTGTCTAAGATAACATTACCATTACTGGGGAACATTCTTGCCAAACACGATTTCGGGGCTTAGCGTCCCCGCGGCCCGGTCTTCGACTAGACCTCCCCTTTTTTTTGCACATTCCCAGGAAGGAGCCCGTAGCAGCTGTCTACTCCCAGGTACCTATTTACTGCTAGGTGAAAAGGAGCATCAGGGTGAAAGAAACTGCCCATTTGTTTCCTCCAGGGATCGAGCTCGGAACCTCATGACTACGAATCCCTAGCAATGTCCACTCAGCCATAAGACCAACTTACTGCAACTATTGACAATTTGAATGCTTTAAACACAAAATTTTTATTATAACCAACTGAAGTTATTGAGTTTTGCAAATATTTTTAATATAAATTTATTTACTGAAGACCTTAATTCAAACCGATTATTATATAGTAGCTATTGCTTACTTAGAAAAATATCTCAATAATTTTTAAAACAATAAAATAATGTTAAAAAAATAATGATTATCATTTAAGTTTTAATCTAATAAACAAAATTTAAATATAATAACATAGGAAGATAAGAATAAAAGTAACTGCAGAAGGCCTATTGGCTCACACGAGGCAGCTCCTAAGTGGTGAAGTTTATAACCAGAACCGTGCGCGTCATCTCAGCTGATGGTTGACAGATGTTGATAGGTCTTAATAACCCTCCAGAGGTTGATAGGTCTTAATACCCCTCCAGTGGTTGATAGACTTTAATAACCCTCCAGACGTTGATAGGTCTTAATACCCCTTCAGAGGTTGATAGACCTTAATAACCCTCCAGAGGTAGATAAGCCTTAATACCCCTCCCGAGGCTGATAAACCTTAATAACCCTCTAGAGGTTGATAGGTCTTAATAACCCTCCAGAGGTTGATAGGTCTTAACAATCCTCCAGAGGTTGATAGGCATTAATAACCCTCCAGAGGTCGATAGGTCTTAATAAGCCTCCAGAGGTTGATAGGCCTTAATAACCGTCCAATGGCTGATAGGCCTTAATAACCCTCCAGAGGTTGATAGATCTTAATAACCCTCCAGAGCTTGAAAAGGCATTAATAATCCTCCAGAGGTTGATAGATCTTAATAACCCTTCAGAGGTTGATAGGTTTAAAAAATTCTCCAGAGGTTGATAGGTCTTAATAATCCTCCAGAGATTGATGTCTTAATTAATAAGCCTCCAGAGGTTGACAGGCCTTAATAACCATATAGAGGTTGGTAAGGCATAATAATCCTT